ATCATTACAGAGCTACACTCACGTATTTCGTAATTAAAACTAAAGATCCCATGACGCCTGATCCGAAATTTTTCGAACATTAACAAAGACCAGCACCTACGCATTATTGACGCATTATTTCGAGACTACCGTTGCTAATGACTATGAAACTTCGTGGAGATCTAAGTGTTGCTGCCGGTATGCATCAATGCGACGAGAAGATGGGTAAAGTCCTGAAAGTTTACCCAAGCTTGCACGAACTAGACTTGCAAAACGACAATTTTTGAATGTTATCGTTGGAACAGAGTCCCTGTCGCATCATGCTAGCACATAAAATGTCGCAATGTGGATTACTTCTAGAGACACCGCTGCTGATACGCTGCTCGATTCGAATATGGAGGCGAAAGTTGGCGTTGTACAAAACCTCAATTATTCGTTACTACAGGCTACCTGAAGCTGCCAGGTTTATGCAAAGGATCCGTCTCCCTTCGACCTTCAACCTGCCTTGCTTGTAGAATTTTCCATCTTTGCATAGCTGACTTGCGTTAGGCTTAGCAGACATTCGGAGCACTAAACATATTTTGCCCCTGCACTGGGATCAATCGAGTTCCAGTGAGGGACATCAACTGAATGGCGGCGTAACACGGAAGTGCTAGCAAGTTTCTTGATTTCCATTCTTGCGTTGAAGCTGCTTGGTAGGAGAGTGTGTATAAAATGTGTCAATGTGACAAAGCAGTACGACGCCGTTTCGACCAATTCCGACACGATGGGGAACACGAAAGCGGTTCGGTCGCATGTGCTGGATATGTGCACTCTGGTGTGTGTCACACATTTCCCTGCTCACTTTCAGCGGCAGATTCAAAGCCAGTAATAATCACTTCGGAAATCCCGAAGCACTTTCACTTTGGACCTCACGCCCGCACATCTCTGTCTTGTCAATTGCAATCCAGAATGCTCAAGGTCTGCCGCTATACCGCCTCTGCCAGCCGTATGCGATCTCTTCGCGCCCTCACTACGTACTCCGGCGGCCAGCCGTCTGAGGGCCAGGGCGGCTTCTATGGCTCGGCCAAGACGCGATCCGAAGCCAGTTCCAAGTTCAGCCCCGGCGCACGCGCCGAGCCGCAGGATTTGACCAAGCTGCAGCAGCTCATGAGTCAGTGGGAGGCACAGAAGGCGTCGCTTGCTGCTGAAGAGCAGAAGAGGGTGCTTGCGCGGATCGCGAGCGAGGAGGAGACGCTCATCCAGCGCCTTCTCATCCGCGGCGCGCCCGTGTGGGGGCTCTCTGTACAGCAGCGTCACTTTGTGGCCGAGTGCAGCAAGATTCGCTGCTTCTGACTACAGGCAGGGCCTTTTTTCGTATGTCAGCGGCTGTCGGGGATTTCAATGCGTCCAGCTGCCTTCCTCTGAGGCTATACAGCTTCATAGTATGCGCTCAGTTACCATGGGAATAAAGAAATACTAGCTAGGGAGGCAAATTGCCGTAAATGTACCGCTTTTCTAAAAAGTGGCGTCGAATTAAGGAATCATAGTTCCTGTAGTGTAGCAGGGTGCCAAGTACTGAACACCAATGATGCTGCTTTCTTCAGCAAATGGCCGCTTTCTCCACGATTATTCTTTGACATCACTAGTCGAGGACGATGATGGGCAATGACGTCACAGCTTAGCAGAGTACCGAATCGATTGCATCAGACAATGCAATCGCTAGGTCTAGTACTGCAATCGTGTTGATATTCGAAGAAAGGGTCCTTGTAAATACTTTAAGGTCGAAGAGCCCAGCGTCGCCAATCGTTCTCGCCTCATGATCAGATCGCCGCCGGCACACGTGCTCACGATTTGCTATTGGGTTATGTGCAATCTACTGTGGTCGCTAGCACTTTCTGGCTACCGAATCTCTTTGGACAGCAGTTCTTCGAGCTCAAGGGATTCCAGACGTAATTACAGATACACAGTGAGCCTGAAGTTGGCAACTTTCTTCCTCGAGCGCTGTGTTTGCAAATTGCAATCACTCGATCTTGTCTATGACATCGGAGCCTTTGCTAACTTCTGGGTAAAATTTTTGTTTTTAGACCATCAGTTGTGATACGTTTGAGCGGCCCCTTTGTAAATCACGGAGAAGCTGGACGGCTACATCGTGCCATCTGGCGACGTAGCAGCTTACAAGTTAAGGATCAATCACAACGTCACGCAAACAATGCTTCTGCTTAACGAGGTAGCGATATTGATGCCGACATCAAATGTCGATTCTGCTACGAAGCGACGATTGCACAGCCCATTTTATCGCAGCCGTTGCATCGATGTTGCGTGCAACAAAGGAAGCACAGCACGACTTACGTAGACACTTCTACGTGTCGGACACCTTGCATCCAAATAGAATCGATTCCCACTTCCGCCTTTGCATCTCGAATAAACAAGGACTTTGCACAAAGCAGCCGTAATACGTACCGGGTTGGCTAACATATAGAGAACAAAGCAAAAAAACTCAGTTTTGTGTGCGAGTGTGTAAGGAATGTAATTTGGCGTAGCCAACTTGCGTAGGCTGCGATTTGAGGAGACTGCCTACTAACAGGAATGGAGGGCGTATTTGTGACAAACGAAACCATGTGGTGCTAATCCTGTGATGCATTGGACACAAGCAACATGTCGATGCGATTTATATTGCAGTGGTTCACCTCATTGTTGTGGATCTGTCACCTTTTTTGTGAGCTTATTTCTGCGGCGTAAAGGTGCCCCACATAGTTAGTGGCCTCTCGTCACTACATGCCGCTGATTAAATAGTTAGTGGCGTCTCGTCACTACATGCCGCTGATTAAAGTCGTTCTCAGATAAGAGCTATCGGTATGAAATTAGCTGCAATCACGGGCTCGAAAATGAGACTGCTTCGTGAATACCACATTTTAGCACGCTTTCGCTTCGGAACACCGTTACTATTCCTATTTCACAATCTTACCAAGTGATGACACATCAGTCATTGTTGGACGCCAAGATAGCGTCACTTTGGTCCTTTATTGCCGTTAGCCAAGCTTTTCCTTCCGCATTGTGCCCATACTTAAGCCCTGATTTTTACCGGCACTTTCGGCACGCCACCATAGAGAAGTTGCACTTTTCACCAAGCTTCGAGATTTTCTCTCCGTTGTTTTGACACATTGATGAGATGGGCCCGCAGACTAAACTGTAGCTTTCTTTGCACCCGTTCATCTTTTGCAGTGAACACTAATATTGCTGAGATACTGAGCATTGACGTGTTTATCACTTTGGTATGATAAAAGCCCTGGTATAGGCTCTTATAAGGCGATGTTTATGCAGTTATCAGGTATCAGTTCTCTGTCACTAGGATACAATTGACGAAAGTTTTTTTTGCATGTGTACCACCAAATTGCATTGCGGACTTGAGCTGTTGTATTTATAAAACTGATACAGGTGCCTAAATCTGTTGACCACTGAAATGGTCAAGTCGGGGTACGTACGGTGTTAATATTAAACTTCTTCTCTCACGAAGACTTAAAGGATTCTCGAAGACACAAAAGACTTGTTCAATGCTTTTCTGAGAAACCAGTCTGTCTGGTCACAAAGATCATTACAACGTTCTCTTTTTGAGTAAAAGATGGTCGACTGCCCGTAGTCGTGATAATAAGACGTAACTATGACAACTGCATTCAGCATGCATTTGCGCTGATTTATTCAGTAAATTGTCTCTGCTGAACCACAAACGGCGATTTCTACGCAAACCGCAGAAAGAACCCCCCTGCACTTGTGAAGCGACTCCTCCTCTACTCTACCGTGTACACGGGACTTCTAAAAAGCGTAATTCTTTTTGTAAGTCCGAACAATAGGGACTCTATTTATGATTTTCAGGCTTATCTAGATGTTACTGTGGCGACGACTTCGCTCATGACAAAACAGTGCATACCCTGGAGTATTATCTCTTCCATACCTTTTTATAAAAGATCTTTCTCAGAGCTGTCTCGATACACATAAGCATGCGTAAAACTAGCTACACAGCTTTTTTTAGCCGCTGGAGAACGGCCTTACTCATAAAAGAGCGACGAGTCGAGGCCAGATTATTCGTGACGGTTTAATGCTTGATCATTCGACGCACTGTGTGTCTACGCAGCAAAAATGTGTGTCATCAGTACACAATTGCAAGTCTTATGATGTAAGGATGTAAATCATAGTGAAATTTTGTTGAAGTGACAGCTCATCTAGAACATAATCTTGCTGGCGTCATCCAGGCACATACATAATTATGTCTATACAAGTGATACGATTTCAAAACTGTACGTTGCCCTCATGCCTTCCACCTTGCCATGCAAGGTTTTCAAATGTTTTGAATGGCAAAGTGTACCTACACGAATGCGGGTTACAAGGCACTCCATAGTTGTCAAATCTTTCAATGTGCGACGTCGGTCTTTCTATGCCTACCCGGTGACACGGAAATTGTGCGCACCCATACGGAGGCAGCCCTTACTTGAAGTTGAAGTTCATGCATCTAAACTGTAAGATGACTTCAGTCTCTTACGATATGTCAAGGTAGTGGCTTCACAAACTGGACAAGTTGTTGCAGCGTGGAATAAATTGTCCTTTTCTGACGGGGCATCCTTTGGGTGAGAGAGAGAAGATCAGAAGGATCTCGATAAGTGAGTGTGCATGAAAAAAGGCACACAGCCGAATCGGTCCACAACGTCTTGTAAAATTTGCGGTGCAAAGTAGCAGGCATCAAAACACACAACTTTTAGGACAGCTTTCTATAACGTGTATTTAATTTTGGTCTTTTCATCTAAAACCTAGTCAACTCTTCCTATCCACACACAGCTTCGTTGTCCTCAGCTTCTTGCTAAAGTTAAGGATCCCTCACACGTATACGCTGTCGATAATTCCGAACTTCAGCCTCTTTCCAAATTCAGAAAACCCAAAAAGACCTCCCCACTAAAAACGTGAGGTCTCGGCCATTCGTCCCACCCCCGACCCCCCCCACCCTCTGAAGTAAGCAGAAGAACAAGACAAGGAAAAACCGCAAGACGATGATGATGACCAAGCTAAGCCGCGCGCGCCAGCCCCTCGCTCGCGCGCAGTCGTCCGTAGCCGCCGCGGTGTCCGCTTACCTTCGTACGTGCTGAACGCGCCAGCCACGGAGGTCACGACGCTGCCGAGCGGCCTCCGCGTGGCCTCCGAGGGCTCCCACGGCGAGACCGCGACGGTCGGCGTCTGGATCGGCGCTGGCTCTCGCTACGAGACGGCGCAGAACAACGGGGCCGCGCACTTTCTGGAGCACATGGCGTTCAAGGGCACGAGCAAGCGCACGCAGCACCAGCTGGAGCTCGAGATTGAGAACATGGGCGGCCACCTGAACGCCTACACGAGTCGCGAGCAGACGGTGTACTACGCCAAGGTCTTCAAGAAGGACGTGCCCCGTGCCATGGACATCCTCAGCGACATTCTGCAGAACTCGAAGCTGGACGAAGCGGCGATTGAGCGCGAGCGGGACGTCATTCTTCGGGAGATGGAGGAGGTCAACAAACAGCAGGAGGAGGTTGTCTTTGACCGGCTCCATGAGACGGCGTTCATGGGCAACGGCCTCGGTCGCACGATCTTGGGACCGACGGAGAACGTACGTTTCATTTACTGTTGCTACGTGGGGAGGTCCACTGTGTGATGTAGCTGGCTGCTTCACTAGTTTTTTTTACAATGTTGTGCTGTAGATTCGAAACTTGAAGAAATCGGACCTTCAGGACTACATTGCCACGCACTATACGGCGCCGCGGATGGTGATTGCCGGGGCTGGGGCCGTGGACCACTCGCAACTGGTGGAGCTGGCGCAAAAGTCGTTTGGGGAGTTGCCGACAACTCCGGCCGTGGCTCCTACACTTGAGCCTGTGCGTTTCGTTGGCTCAGACGTGCGTGTGAAAGACGACAGCATGCCTCTGGCTCACGTGGCCCTTGCGTTTGAGGGTTTCAGCTGGACCAGTGAGCACTCGTTCCCTCTGCTGATCATGCAGACGCTGCTCGGCAGCTGGGACCGCACCTCGGGTGCTGGCATGAACATGTCGTCGAAGTTGGGCCAGGTTGTAGCAGAGAAGGAGCTTGCCCACTCGTACATGTCGTTCAATACGTGCTACCAAGATACGGGTTTGTTTGGTGTGTACGCTGTAGCCGACAAGTACAAGCTGAACGATCTGACGTGGTACACAATGGAGGCACTGGTGCGCCTAGTACACAAGACCACGGATGATGAGGTCGAGCGTGCGAAGGTGCAGTTGAAGGCCAACATGTTGATGCAGCTGGACGGTTCGTCGCCAATCTGCGAGGACATTGGTCGCCAGATGCTGACGTACGGCCGCCGCATGACCCCTGCAGAGATCTTTGCTCGCATTGATGCCGTGGATGCTGCGGCTGTTCGTCTTACGGCGGACGAGGTCATTAATGACAAGGAGCATGCGCTGGCTGCTATTGGTCCTATCCACGAGCTGCCTGACTACAACTTCATTCGCCGTCGCTCGTACTGGCTGCGATACTAAGCAGATGGGGCCGTCTTTGCATCCTGTCGTCAAGAAGGGAGGGATTGAGGCATTGAGCTGGTAAACGGATTTTCAGAAGCTCTGTATGGAAAAGCGGACGAGCCGTTGGCTACTTTGTCAAGAAGAATTGACGCGTGAATGAAAGCAAATTGCATTGAATGTCTTTGTTGTAAGTGAAACTATAGAGAGCGTTAGAGTTGGGCGCAGCTTGCTATGCTTCGTGCTGACTGAATACAGTAGAGACCTTTGATACGGCGCCCGATCTATCGGATGTTCCGGATTGTGCGCAAGTAAACTACGCCAGGCCTCAAGGTATCCATGTGCCTAAACAAGACACAAGGTTACTCTGAATCGCGATGTGACTACAACGTGATTAATTGGCAACGAATAACCTTAAAATCAGATTTAGTGGCGGTACACTTTATCGGACTGCAGCAGCAGCACTAGAGTGATCATCATGGGTCACACAGCTAGCACCAACAGATGGCAACCTCGCATTTCGGAGACGACTCTGGATGAAGAGCCTGAACGAACCGCTGCAGCAAGTCGTGGAAGCTACGCACCAGCACAAGCGGTAGCGACGACTCGTGGAAGACCAGACATGGCCTTTATATCGACGAATGATGGAGTGCCCAAGCCCATCGGTCTTCCAGAACTACAACAATCAAGCACAATTACGAACCACGTGAACCTGAACAAGTCCAGTCTGAAGCTGGAACGGTCGATTACAGAACCGTCACAGTACGCACTGACATTCAAATTTGACGCGACTAAAGCCTGTCGGATCAGTGTGTACGTCGTGGCAGCTGAGGTCGTTGAAGCTGGAACTGGCAACTTGAGTTACGCTCTGGCTTGTGCGGATAACATCCCGATTCTGACTCAGCACTTCTCTCACGGAATGAGGCAGACTTTTGTGCTCAAAGGTGGAGAGAAGGAAGAGCAGACACTTACAAAGGACCGTGAGAAGCTTGAGCATCCAGGGTCGTTCTTGGACTTGTCAGGCTATGACGCTGATGATCTGGTGTACAAGGCTGACGAGAGACAATTTCCATTAATTATCACGCTTGAAGTAGTGTCAGACGGTAAGCTGTTGCAGCTTGATTTCGTCGCTATCCTTGGTGTTCATCCGTTGCGATGTCGTTCACAGGTACATCCATCCAGTCCCAGTCAACTTTCTGCTCATTTTTTCGGACCGCTGAAGACGACTGGGATGTCAGGGTGCTCAAGCAGAAAGTTCTGGTAAAGATAGCTTTCGGTCTGAGTGAGATCCGATAGTTTTCCAGTCGACTAATGCTTGTGTCTTTTGGTTAGGTCGATGGGCTGACGTACGAAGTGCAGGAGATTTATGGCATCAGTGCATCGGTAAACATAGCTCCCGAAACTAAGCGAAGCGATAAAGCGGAGGACGATCATGTTGCCATAAGTCCATCGACTGGAGCTGGGATCGGACCGTCTCAAGAAGCCGAATGCATCATTTGTTTGTGTGAACCGCGCGATACTATCATTCTACCCTGCCGTCACATGTGTCTCTGCAGCGGCTGTGCAGAAACACTAAGCAAGAGGTGTAGCATGTGCCCAGTTTGTAGAACGCGGGTCGAGGCGATGTTGCATATGCGCAATGAAGGACAGGAGACGCTGAACTTGAGTAGCGAATGCTCTGTTCAAGGTAATCGACGCCGGATGTTGTAAAATCTAGAGGCACACACTGAAATATCTCCATGGCACAGTGGCGAAGATCTGGAGGGAACTCTACATTGTGGTGTTGCGGTACGTATGACGATTTCTTGCAAGTCCCAAGCATGACAAAAGAATGATCATTTTACTGTGGTCTCTTCCTGCTTCTTCCTCTCCTCTCCCTGCGGAAATGGACCACCGGACCAAAAGTTTCCCCTCGGCTTTCCGTCCTAGTCAGTCCTCCACGAAGGATCAGGCTCTCTATTGGTGCTGATCTAGTCTTCGCGCATGGGTGATGCCTTCGCTTGTCACGGCCTTGCAATTGGTTCCGTGCACTTCGTGTTTTTCTTGATGATTTTTGCATGTTTATCTTGTACAAATACTGACAGCGCCGACGGCTCGAACTTGAAGGTGGAAGAAACATCGACAAACGTCCGCCGCGTGTCACTATATCTGCGCCTTCATTCTCGAGTGGTTACACCGAAATACATGCAGATAATACGCTAGTGTCGCACGGCATCTCCTACGCTGCCCTGGCCTGGTCTCAAGCTCCCTCCCACAAACTAGAGCCAACTGGCGTCGTGTTTTCAGGTTCCCTCGTTTGGCCTTAGACTGCCAGACGCCACCTAATTGCTTTTTTTCCACATTCCCTTCATCTGACATCCACAATAAAACAAGTAAGCTACCGTATCGGACTTCCAAACAGCACAAAACGAAGCCGTACCAAGTTCGCCACTTGCTCCGGGGCGTCACGAAGTCGGTTCGCCGTTGACGGAGTGGCGCTTGCATCACCTGTTGAGCCATAGTACGGACTGCTCTGGCCTTTCGCAGGATAAACTCCACCACGCTGAGATCTTATTTGAACCTCTTCTACTGCGGCTTTCGTACTCAGGTCTCCTGAAGACTGCGACTGAAGACCGCCACGAGTAGATGGACTACCACCATTAATGTCTCCCCGTCGCTTAGGGCTCTGAGGGCCTCCTTGGCTAAAGCTGTTATCTGCACTGGAATTCGAGTCATCGGACATCGTCGGAGATCCGACCTTAGCTGCGTTGCTCGACAACGATCGTGTCATCATCTCGACCATTTGCTCGCGTTTCTTCAACTCACTCTCACGACGCATGTAGTCTACCTCCAGCTCTACAAATCCATGAAAATAGTCTCCATTAGATTCAACACAAAGTACGCGACGAAAACAGAGAAACCTTCCCCACCTTTCAGTTTCTTTTCACGTGCCATCAATGCAGCCTCTTGTCGACGAAGGTCTTCTTCGAACGGAAATATCTCCATGGCACAGTGGCGAAGATCTGGAGGGAACTCTACATTGTGGTGTTGCGGTACGTATGACGATTTCTTGCAAGTCCCAAGCATGACAAAAGAATGATCATTTTACTGTGGTCTCTTCCTGCTTCTTCCTCTCCTCTCCCTGCGGAAATGGACCACCGGACCAAAAGTTTCCCCTCGGCTTTCCGTCCTAGTCAGTCCTCCACGAAGGATCAGGCTCTCTATTGGTGCTGATCTAGTCTTCGCGCATGGGTGATGCCTTCGCTTGTCACGGCCTTGCAATTGGTTCCGTGCACTTCGTGTTTTTCTTGATGATTTTTGCATGTTTATCTTGTACAAATACTGACAGCGCCGACGGCTCGAACTTGAAGGTGGAAGAAACATCGACAAACGTCCGCCGCGTGTCACTATATCTGCGCCTTCATTCTCGAGTGGTTACACCGAAATACATGCAGATAATACGCTAGTGTCGCACGGCATCTCCTACGCTGCCCTGGCCTGGTCTCAAGCTCCCTCCCACAAACTAGAGCCAACTGGCGTCGTGTTTTCAGGTTCCCTCGTTTGGCCTTAGACTGCCAGACGCCACCTAATTGCTTTTTTCCACATTCCCTTCATCTGACATCCACAATAAAACAAGTAAGCTACCGTATCGGACTTCCAAACAGCACAAAACGAAGCCGTACCAAGTTCGCCACTTGCTCCGGGGCGTCACGAAGTCGGTTCGCCGTTGACGGAGTGGCGCTTGCATCACCTGTTGAGCCATAGTACGGACTGCTCTGGCCTTTCGCAGGATAAACTCCACCACGCTGAGATCTTATTTGAACCTCTTCTACTGCGGCTTTCGTACTCAGGTCTCCTGAAGACTGCGACTGAAGACCGCCACGAGTAGATGGACTACCACCATTAATGTCTCCCCGTCGCTTAGGGGCTCTGAGGGGCCTCCTTGGCTAAAGCTGTTATCTGCACTGGAATTCGAGTCATCGGACATCGTCGGAGATCCGACCTTAGCTGCGTTGCTCGACAACGATCGTGTCATCATCTCGACCATTTGCTCGCGTTTCTTCAACTCACTCTCACGACGCATGTAGTCTACCTCCAGCTCTACAAATCCATGAAAATAGTCTCCATTAGATTCAACACAAAGTACGCGACGAAAACAGAGAAACCTTCCCCACCCTTCAGTTTCTTTTCACGTGCCATCAATGCAGCCTCTTGTCGACGAAGGTCTTCTTCGATGCCCAAAAGCTCCTTCATCTTTTGGTTGTACGACGTCTGCAAATTCGGATCAGCAGCTGCCGGTGGCGCATTGGCCGCCGAGTATGCGCGTAATCTCTGTTGTAGCTGTGGCACACGCTCCAAGTCTTCGATTCTCGGTCGTCGAGAGCGCTGCCTATGGAGCATCCATCGAATGACCTGGAAGAGACCCTCCGAGTATTGTGAGGGGATCCGCGTAAACTTGCCAGCGTTGATTTTTTTGGCGAGTGCCAACTGATTGGTTGCATCAAAAGGTGGGCCAAGCGTAGCCATTTCGTACAGCAGGCACCCCAGCGCCCAAATGTCAGAACGGTCGTCGTACGTCATCTCATTCACCATCTCTGGGCTCATGTAGTACGGCGTTCCCACGTTTGTCTGTGCAAAACGAGACTCGCTGCTCAGCTCCTTGGCGAGACCAAAGTCACCAAGCTTCGCATTGTTCTAAATTGAAACAAAGAAGCTGTCAGCGACTTACAGATATCACATAACCACACAAACAACCGTAGTACAATACGCTTCGTACGTTCGAGTCTAAAAAAATGTTGCCAGGTTTAATGTCGCGGTGGAGAATGGGGCGAATGATGTTGCCTTCGCGGTGACGGTGACATTCCTTCAATGCCAAAAAGATATGCGTAAAAATGTGCCAGATGAAGCCCTCTTCGATGTAAGACCTGCCAAGGATCCGGGATATACCCGTCAGCAATCAACTCGATTCCAAATACGATTTACCCGAAACCAGCAAACCACATCAAACGTACCCCTCCCGCTTCTTCCGCTTAATGAACTGACCAAGATCGCCGCCTTCGCAGTATTCCATGACAATGTAAATCCTGGTCGCCTGCTTGTCAATCACTCGGTCCAAGTAGCGGACAATGTGAGGATGGCGCAGCTCCCTCAAAATGTTGACCTGTTCGTCCATCCAACAGAAGATTAATGCGAAAACCACATTCATTGTTTGGGCCATCAGCTACGTCACTCAGGCAAGGGAGTAGGGACCACTCAATCGACGCACCTCGCTCACAATGAGCTGCTTCTCCTTCTCACTCATGGCTCCGTAGTTGACCTCTTTCCACACGAGCATCTACCACATCCACCGACAAATGCATCCACCACAAAAGTAGCAAACAGACAAATAGACACAAAAATAGACAAAAGACACGTCAGTACATGACTCTCCTAAGCTCCAGACACGTGTGGGCGTGTCCCCCCTCTCTCCACGTGTCGCGTCTGCCCTCACCTTGCGATCAGCTTTGCGCACAATCTGCGTGACGACGCCAAATGAGCCCTTGCCGATGATGCGGATCTGCTCATACGCGTCCATCCTGACGACTCGATGCTGTCGAGACGGTTGAGCGTAGGGCGTCGGTGGGCGGAAGGGAAAAGGGCGGTAGAGTGCCGCTGGCTGGTGACGCGCGAGAGCGAACTCAAGGCGTGAAGGAGCGACTGCGTGGCTGGCGAAGGAGCGGCTCAGTCGTCGTCGTCCTTCGAGCGCGACGAGTCTTCTTCTCTCTCGGCTGTTCTTCGCTTTGTGTGGCGGGTCACGGTGGGGAGAGAGAGTCAGTGGAGGGAGAGTCGGGAGGACGATTGGGACCTCCTCGAGTATCGATTATGAAAGAGACTACGTAACAGCCTACAACAAAGTCACAGACCCGCCTCATCCAGTAGATCAACGATCGGTCACCCTTACAACGTGCTGTCGGGTCGTTGGACCGCCTGTTTTACGAAACGGCGGAAGCCCTCGTTTGTCAAATTGACAAAAGCCGAACGTTGACGCGGCATCATGTCTCCAAAGTTCGCAGGCAGCGAATGTATCGACTCTTTTTTTTTCGGGAATTCCTGCAGGCGTATCGATGTATTACTATTTGATGACAAGAGAGCGGGGATCGTTCACGTTAAAGGTGCGTTTGGACTTGTGTGCATCCTTTCAAGAAGCTCGACTTACGTGAGGCGACCGTGAGTAATCGCAACATCTGGCGATCGGAAGATGACTGTTGTTACAAACTTCCATCGTCTGTTTACTGTCGTAAAACCTCAGACAATCGTTCAATCAGCTAGCTACAGTTTTGAAATTGGATAAAGCGCGTCGTTTCCGTCCTAAGACATCCTCATTATTGTTCTATCGCACACGCATTTCGTCGCTTGTCAAGGTATACCCTCTATTACCCACGGTTACTACTTGCATCGCTGTATCGTAACGTGGGTAGCCTCACGATATGCTAGGACTGGTCAAATCGAAAAGTGTTTCGAGACACAGACACGCCGCATCGGCAATTTGGAAACGGGTATATACTTTGCTTAGATCAACTACTGTCGTTGCTCTGCCGTAGCCTAAATGCTACGAGTGATCAGCCCCGATTGCAGCAACTAGCGGTCTGGAGAAAAAGAAAGAGTACCTATCATTTGTCTCGGTACAATGAACTGTAAAGCTTGCGAAAATGCGACGTCGTTCTGCCTCGTCAGTATTGATACCTTCACTAACGGCTGACGGCTCTTCACCAGTGCAAAGCCTCGAATTTGTTTTGCAAGGTGGGAGGTGCAGCTACTCGTCGCCTTTGACTCATGGCTTGATCGATTATCGTGCAATCACGTTTGTTTTGCATATATTCACACTCTAGCAACGAAGACTCGAACGATCACACACGGTTGGTTTTTATTGGCAAAAGCATCGTTGCGAGCCCAAAGGGCGAAGATATGAGTGACTGCGCAAATTTGAATGCCGAACTTTTAGATCGTACTTATCAGTGCGTGAGTCAATGTGGGTGTTTGGTTTGTAGAAAACGCGGTGGAGATGTACGTTTCACGTACTAAGTTCGATCTAGCCTGACTCCCTTTTTAGGTCAATCAGCATGATCGGTGTCACTCTTTGGCTAGGTCACTATTGTGACTTACGCATGGGATTGGCTTAAAATCGATCAAAGGTGAATCTGATCAAATAAGCACATGCTGGACGCTCACAAGCAAATGCCGATCGCGTTGCTTGCGTATACTGTACTGGGTTAATAAAGACATTACCGCATCATACTCCATGAGCTCCAGAGCTTGCTCCCCTATCTTACAGAGTGTCGTCGCTCATTTCCTTGATCATCACAAAACATAGTTCCGAACCGTAGCGCTTTGTATGATCAGGATTCTCTTTTGCACTTTTGATTCTCGCAGCAGCGGAGGGGAGACAAACGTACAGATTAAAAAGTAGGGGTCGCACATCGTACATTATCAGGTAATCGTCGAATTAATGTCGCATTGGATGCAACGAATGCACGAAGCAAGTCGCTAAAGGTACATCCAGTGCCTGAAAACTTACTAATGCTCGGCAGTCAACAGCGCTTCGCTATCAAGCGCATCCTCGTCCAGCATCAGCGGCACTTGAGTTTTGATCACTTTCGTACGATTCAGAATGTGCCCGTTCTGGTAGTCCACCACGTTGAGGGCGATACCCACGAGACTACCCAGCACTCCAAACGATATAAAGAGTAGTTCCACGCTCGGGATGTAATGACCGTCGTGATTGAACTGAGCTGCGACGGCAAGAGGGAACATTGCGAGTCCAACGTTCTGGATAAACATGCAAGGAAACAAGCGTAAGCGTCAGCAATTATGTCCGCTTGCAACTCTCAATTTAAAGAAGGAAAAGGTGAGGACATCATCACCATCTAACATACCTGGATAGCGGTTATTGCTCCGTATGCCGTTCCAACGTACTTTGCTTCGACTACGTCTGTATGATAACAAGAAGACACCAACCAATCCTCCCGATTAGTGCCAATGTAAAGGTTTTATACAAGCAAAAGCTTCGCTTACATGGAACTGAGGGCCACAATGCTGCGGCAAACACGCTGTAGGCTACACCCTGCAGCACCAGCGGGACGTACAGTGTAACTTGGGTGTATCCAAGCATGGCGTGGACTGCCGTCAATGCGAGAGGGGCTACCAGCGCTAACAAGGCGCGGAGACCAACACGGTCAACCACGAACCCCAGAAACGGAGATATGACAGCGCTGATGATGTATGGAATTGACATTGGGGTAGCAGCTCGCTGCGCCGCTCCCATCTTTGCAGCACAGTACGTCTTCGTTAACGGGCCGAGTTTCCATGCCTCGTCGTCACAATTGATCTTGTCGTCAAGAATGAGCGGTGGCGACGTCGAGCAGTTCCACTGGTCAGACGGTTCCTTAATCGTGCAATTTGCTGATAGCAAGGGCAGAGGCCATCCGTACGGAGGAACACTGGGGCATCCTGGGGCTATGTGCTCGCAATCGAGTTCGAAAATGTACCGTCCCTCACCGCATCGTCGGCACTGTTCAGATGGTTCCTTGAAGAAGTCGCGTTCCATCAGCAGGCTACTGGCGACGTTGTTAAAGGGAATTACGCAGCCGTACACCACCAAACAGCTCAAGGCCAGGAACCAGAACGCTGGTCGGAAATACTTGACATCACTGAAACGAATGCTCTCTGCAATAGCCGCATCCCCCTTAAGACTCTTTTTGTCCAGTTTTTCAGCCGTCCGATCAATTGGAGTCAACAGCAGTAACGTGGAGGTGGATCCGAGACACATGATGACACCCACCCACAGCGCTGACGACACACCCGAAGCTTGAGCAACGACTGGACTGAGTTCGTTGTTAATGACACTGCCGAGCCGAGCCACGCTAAGGTTGATACCCAAAGCCAGTGCTAGCTCACTGTTTTTGAACCACGAGGCAACAAGAGTTCCTTGAGCAACTCCCAAGCTCTCCCCGCCGAAGCCAAAGATCACTCGGCCAAACTGCGAGAAACAACCGCACACGCCATTACAAGCCACATCTAAACATAAAGTGGACCTCCTCTTGACTCACCAGCATCATGTTGAAACTCGAGAGGGAACAGCCCGCTGCAAAGATCACTTGTCCCGTTAATATTGCCGTCGAGAAGGCAAAGATCATCACGCGAGCACCGAATCGGTCCACCAAGACACCACCGAAGAATGGGAGCAAGATATTGGGGATCGAGTACAATGTGTACAGTAAGTTCTTCAAGGATAGCAAGTGGACAGTCAGTATCAGCTAATGTTAAGTAACATAATATTTCGGATCACAGTAGTTCCTTACAAAAAGGAACTCGTAGCGGTCTTTCGGGATGGCGCTAAAGTGCTGCTGCAGCTGACTCTTCAATGCTGCAGGGTTGTCAAAGCAGTAGTAGTTGCCGATCATGAGCACACAGGACAGAAACAGCACGAGCCACCGCACCCGCAGCTCGCTCTTCTCCATGTCGAAAATGTGTTGACAGGTACAAAGGGCCTTCTCGCCCATCAGAAATCCTCTGTATTCAAGTAAGTACGGATTAAAACGGAGCAGCTCGAAATTCCAAATCGACCATCTCTCTTCGCGCGACTTCTCCTAATACTTTTTAGGTTCTACTGAAGCACGTCATTTCTTTCGAGCGCTAGGCCGATTCGGTTATCATCAATTGATACTGAAGTCTTTGACTGATACACTGCGCCAATAAAGCAGATACCACTGTAATTTCAAGTTCCAGAGAAGCCGCACACGTAACTTGTATCGTTCTTTGGACCAGCGAGAGAAGTAAACGAGTCTGAGCTGGTACTGCCAAACCACTGAGTAGTACACATTGTAGTTTTAAAGCGGAGTCCAAGTAGAGCTGCTTCTGAGTGGCGAATATCAACGTGCTGGATCTTCTCGTCTTTAACAACTCCGATTAGGGTGCTCATTCGGGCCAAGAGCAATGCGCAGTCCCTTAGGTATCAAATGAAATGCTCGCTTTCGACAACGTAGATTGCTTGTAAGTGATCATCAGACTTAATACAAATGCCCGAAGTCTGTCGTGGCTGTAGTAAAATGACAAAGAATCGACACCGGCAGTCTAAAAAGGAATACACTCAGCCGTTGTCAATTTGTCAACAGCAGTCTTAGCAAACTGGTCATGATCTAATGAGGGGGACCTTTAAACGGCAACGCGGGTAGCGAGCGACCAGTGTGGAGAACAAATTTTTCATACTGACACTATTGTCCTTACACCTCTGTTGTTCACAGCGAGCGCTTTGACATTCCGATATGGGCTGAGAAGGATCTGCACAATTTATTCAAGCAATTCTTGTGGACGCACGCGTCATCGATAGTGTAATGGGGCACCCTTTGTTTGGGGTGCCACGAAACTTCACGGTACACTAGTACGTGCATAAGAAGCTAATCTACTCAAACGACTCATTTAAGTAAGGGTAAAAAGAGAACTGTATTTAATATAGTTAAGCTGTCAATGTAACTTCAGTATTTATCCTACCATATTAAACTACGCCGTCGTGTGAGGACAACCTGCTCACCACTCATTACGCGCGTCTAGCAGCGATTGGCGGTAATCTACGGTTGACATGTCTATGACAACCAATCTTCGAGCAGCGCATGAATAATATCTTAAAAGGGGATAACATTACTTCAAAATTATCCATCTCGGATAATATTGATAATGTATTGTCATGCTAGACAATCTCCATATTGACACCATTTGGTGTCAATATCATAAACCGGGCTACCCCGTTACATCACAGCCCCCACATTGACCATCAATTACCCGTTGATTGAATTTAACCAATTGGGACAGGGTGACCACCGTTAGACCACTCTGGAAAGGGGATTGTTGGTCGAATTCCATCAATTTTCCAATTCATCGCATGGTGTTTAAGTCCATGCGATGTGCTGCCGAAGCAAAAAGAAGGCGGTCGCACGCATGCTTGCAGCCGAAGATAGTTCTGCTCTTGCTTCAGCAGCAGGTAATCTTTCGCCTGCTGTTGCAATTAATAAAAAAGGCGATGCCTATCGTGAATAGTCCACGTGGTGAGTCACCACGTGCGACAAATGCATATGTTGCATCCGCCGTAAGTGCTACCACTCGCAATGCGGATGAGTCTTAAATAGAGCTCATCTAGTCTGGCGATTCGGATGATCCATCGGACTCGAAGGCGACACCTCATGTCTCCGGATCATCCGGGGCGGAAACTGTTAGAGCCAGGTTTTCTGGCTCTGGGGAACGTGGCGGCATCATGTCCGAGATCTTTGAACCGAGCGACTCATCTGACACATCTCGTCTCACGCAAGTCCATCCGAAGATAGGACGCGTGGTGATGGTGGTGATGTTGGTGATGCCCCAATGCATCACCATGAGAGAAGCAACTAGAGCGATCGAGCTGCCACTGGTGTCAGTGCTCTTGCTGACACCACTCAAGAGGCCAGGGACCGAAATTTCCTGTGCCACGCTCCTCAAGTGAAGCCTCCATAGAATCCGTCATCCATAGAGTTGGACCGGTTGGCCGGCATGACCACCGAACGGGATCGAATCCTGTTGTTTGATTGTAGGAAGATTTGCCCATTTAATGCCAGCATGGAAACTATCCGTGCTGAGGAAGAGTTCTTCACCGATGCGTTCTTCAAACATCGGTGGAACAATGGTAGCCGTGTGCGAGACGGTAAAGCCTTGGTGCAGGGATGGAATTCCCTCATCCATAGCATCGAGTGCATTGGCCGTGAGGCCTGGCTCGCCAAACTTGATGCAGCTCGCATAAGTTTTAAGAAGCGCAACCCAGTCGGGGCACGTTACAAGTTGCATCGGCTTTCAAGAGAGGCAGGATTACCCTGTCTCTCGTGGGGCGACCATTATCCAGGTTGCCTGGACAACTTGAACCATGCCCCTAGAGAGACCTACCTCCCTTATGATCCCTACTGGAGGGTGCGCATCTCTTCCATGATGGCCGAAGGGATTGACACCTTGCAATTCCTGTGCTCGCATTCGGGAAGGTCGTTATCCAACGGCCCTTCTTCAAACGCAGCAGGTGGGTCTCGTCATACTGCTCGACGAGACCAAGGACATCAACAATCAGCTGGGCGCGAGGCACACAGCTGTCCCAAGCCGGTGTATAGCCACGCCAGCGGACGAGGTAACTCGTCCGGACGCCCTTCACATCGTGGTGGTTCAAGATACCCTCTTTCAGAAAGCGTTGATAAACGCCAGAGTCCACTAAAGGATGTGATGGTAGCGGGAACACCTCATCCGGCTCGAGGGTCGGATCAGCGTGATGTTAAGGAGCTGAATCATGTAACGGAACAGTTACAAGATGACCTGGCTCATGAACGGACTCGGCTTTATCAGCTTCATGACATCGTAAAGGATAATTACATTTCCTTAGCGCACGATCGTTCGAACGATCGTGCCGCGTTTGCGTTCGCGCAACTTGAGAAAGAATGTTTGGCCTGTTCCCTTCGTAACGAGCTGACTGCAGCTCGTCAGGATGTCGATCAACTGCGTGAGCAGGTCACTTCGCTAGTCGACCAGACTGGCTCGTTGAAAAGAAAACACTCGAAGATGATCTCGACCCTTGACCGCGGAAGTGTTCTTCGCCCCTCGAAACGGGCTAGTACTGATAGTACAGGTGGAGACGTCCAATGTAAAACGTAGGATGCGTACGCATCGTACAATGCTGTTCAATCGTGTATGCGTTGCCCATTCGACGCAGCACACGAAATGGACCGATGTACTTAGGCAGCAGGTATACTGCTGCCCACGTTTGTCACTGCGTTATTTGATAGATTTACTGTATACAGTAAAACTAAGTCTCCTTCGATACATGAAAGAACATTTGCTCTTCCATGTTTGTCCGCGTTTCTTTTCTGTCTGTCTATTGCATCTGCAATAGAGTCTTAAACGAAGCGGACAACCGCTTTGCGAGTCAGCAGAAATTCCTCTGCTGATTTATCCTTGTCAACCGCAGTGCGCTTCGTGTGCACTGTTCAAAGATTGTTGTCTTTATCATTTTGGGCGACTTCTCCCTCACTGTATCGGTCGTTGGTGATGCTGATTATACCAGCATCGTCGCCATATCGTCATCGGTGTCGATAGGATCGACACCAGTATCCGCCACGTCGACAAAATTGTCGAGGTGTGATGAGAAAGAACAAGATTGGATTTTGTTCGAGCGAGTCCACCACCCCCCTTAGCAAGAGTTACACCTTAAGAAGGCGGGTAAGCGTGGATGGTGCAGGCCATTCACGGTGAACAGCGTATGCGTTGTCGATGCACGCACCGAGTTGTTGATGATGAATTTCGCCATCGGCAAGAAATTACTCCAGCTCGTAAACAAGTTGACATACCCTTGAAGTATCTTTTCGAGAACGCAATTGACGCTTTCCGTCTGACCATCTGCTTCTGGATGGTCAGAAGTTAACATCGTCAAACGTGTTCCGAGTGAACGGAACACGGATTGCCAGAACTCCGCTGTGAAGCAGAGGTCCCTATCCGACACGAGTTCACGGGGTAACCCGTGAAGTCGGAAAAAGGTTTCGATAAAGACACGCGCACAGCCCTGGTCTGTTATGGAATCCGGTACAGCAACAAGATGTACCAACTTGCCGAATGATCAACAAACACAAGAATACCAGTTTTCTTTTGAACGTCTTTGAGGAATTTCGAAGACGAAGTCCATGATACGGACTGCCAACACTCTGTCGGAATTGGAAGAGGCTGCAAGGGTGCACGGGATAAAGTACTAGGCTTCACCCATTGGCAAACTTTGCAAGCGCGAATGTATTTCCGCACAAACTCATACTGGCGGGGACAGTAGAAATCACGACTTACCGTGAAGTAAGACTTTTCTCTTTCGCGATGCCCACTTGTTGGGGTATCGTTATACTCATACATGATGCGCAATCGTAAATCATCATGAGCGGGAACGAAGACACGAGGTGTGTCTCCATTTACTGCTGTATAGTACAGCAGTCCATCACGAACCGATTACCCTTCGGTTGAAGAGCGGCATCGAGACGTCAATCGTTTCAAAGCTTTACTGCATGGAATAGACACATAATTCATCAATCGCAGAAGAGAATCATCTTCTGCGTATGCTTTCCGCACGTTGTCGAGCAGATTCGACGACGGAACACTCACTGTTAGTGTCGCGACAGTGGGATTACCCCTTCTAGATTGCTGAGCAGTCGGCCCGAAATCGGGCCGACGCGAAAGAGCATCAGAGACGACATTAAGTAGTCCTGACCTACATTCGACATAGAAGTTGTACTCCGCGAAGAAGGACAGCCACCTCGCCATTCGTTGCGAGAGGGGTGGACTGTTTACGGCCGTGCGTAATGACGCATGGTCGGTATAACCGATGAAGGGCCTTTGTCCTTAGAGATTTACCCGAAACTTAGCCAGTACATAATTCATGGCAAGAAGTTCCTTGTCATGCACCGGATAATTTTGCTCAGCT